TAAATCCTATGGGTACACCTCCATTTATATTCACAGCTTTATTTTTCCATTTATTTTGTTTCTTTATAATAGAGGTACTTCATTCCCAGGAAATGAAGAAGGGAAGAAGTGGTGGGGCAGGAGGCGTGTGAGGAAGGGGAAACCTCTCAATCCACACTCTCCCATTTTATAAAGGTTTTTTTTAATGCCTCCTCAGTCATTTTCCCTCAAAACTAACACCAGCCCACACCACTTAACCCTCACTTGGAAAGTGCTACTTTGATCATTATAATGGCTCTTTATAGTTGTATAATTAAATATTCTTTTTAAGTTGCAGTGGTAAAATCATACACATGCAATGGTATCATATATGACTTTAGCATACCCCTGGGTTTTGTGTTTAACCATTTGGTTCCGTGTTATTTATTCATTAAGTCACTTCTGACTCTTTGTGACCTAATGGACCAGCCCACGCCAGAGCTCCCTGTCGGCCGTCAACACCCCCAGTTCCTTCAAGGTCATGCCAGTCACTTCAAGGATACCATCCATCCATCTTGCCCTTGGTTGGCCCCTCTTCCTTTTTCCTTCCATTTTCCCTAGCATCATTGTCTTCTCATTATGTGACCAAAGTAATTCATCTTTGCCTCTAATATTCTTCCACCCAGTGAGCAATTGGGCTTTATTTTCTGAAGTATGGACTGGTTGGATCTTCTCATGGTCCAAGGCACTCTCAGAATTTTCCTCCAGCACCACAGTTCAAAAGTGTCTATTTTCCTTTGCTCAGCCTTCCTTATGGTTCAGCTCTCACATCCATAGGTTACTACGGGGAAAACCACTGCTATAACTATGGGATCTTTGTTGCCAGTGTGATGTCTCTGCTTTTCAATTAGTTACATAATTACAAATAATGATTAAACTTGGTTTTACTTCTACTGTGGCACATAAGATGTATATTTCATTCATGATAATTCAGTAGGAAACCAAGATGTACTGTCTTATGGTTGCTAGCTCCAAAAATCACGTCATTTGTTATTATGTTGTTCATTCTACTGGAAGTTGGTATTTTTTAAAACTGTTTAAAAAATAACTATTAAAAAGGTTTTTAAAAGTTACATTAAAAGTCAAAAAAGTGAATCAAGAAAAGAAAGAATGAGTAAAAACACAAAAAGGTCTATAAAAAAGAAAAGATAAAAAGAAAATGTAGATTACCTCCAATCTATTCTGGCCAAAAGAAAACAACATAGCTTCTATCGTTGAAGGCTTTCATGGCCAGAATCACTGGGTTGTTGTGAGTTTTCTGGGCTGAATAGCCATGTTCCAGAAGCATTCTCTCCTTACTTTTGCCTGCATCTATGGCAGGCATCCTCAGAGGTTGTGAGGTCTGTTGGAAACAAGGCAAGTGGAGTTTATATATCGGTGGAATGTCCAGGGTGGGAGAAAGAATTCTTGTCTGTTTGAGGTAGGTGTGAATGTAGCAATTATCCACCTTGATTAGTATTTAATGGCCTAGTAGTTTCAAGGTCTGGCTGATTCCTGCCTGGGGGAATCCTTTGTTGGGAGGTGATTAACTGGCCCTGATTGTTTCTTTTCTTGAATTCCCCTGTTTTTGAGTGTTGTTCTTTATTTACTGTCCTGATTTTAGAGGTTTCTTTAAGATACTGGCAGCCAGATTTTGTTCATTTTCATGGTTTCCTTCTTTCTGTAGAAATTATCCACATGCTTGTGGATTTCAATGGCTTTTCCGTGTAGCCTGACATGACAGTGGTCCAGAATTGCTGTGTTCTCAAATAATATGCTGTGTCCAAGTTGGTTCATCAAGTGCTCTGCTATGGCTGACTTCTCTGGTTGAAGTAGTCTGCAGTGCCTTTCATGTTCCTTGATTCATGTTTAGGCATTATGTTTGGTGGTTCCTATGCAGACTTGTCCACAGCTGCCCTCAAGCAGTAAGAAGCCAGGCCTTGAAACTGCTAGGCAATTAAATGCTAATCAATGTGGCCAATTGAAACATTCACACCTTCCTCAAACAAACAAGAGTTCTTTCTCCCACCCTGGACATTCCACAGATATATCAACCCCATTTTCCTAGTTTTCAAAGACTTCACAATCTCTGTGGTTTCCTGCCATAGATGCAGGCAAAACATCAGGAGAGAATGCTTCTGGAACATGGCCATACAGCCCAGAAAACTCACAACAACCCAACCTTGGCTTCCCAATGTTGACTCCTTTATCGAACTGCCTCCCCCCCCCCCAACTCAAATTATTCTTCAGAACTCAAAATTGGCAAGTCTTTCTCTTCCTTGTACAAAAAGTGTAGTTTTTCAATTTTTCTCCCCCAATGTCCCTTCTTTTAGTGAACAAGTTAATTTGTCCATCGTGACCAAATCCATCATTTCTGTTATCCATTCCTCTGTTATTGGTGCTGCTGAGTTCTTCCATCATTTCTGTACATAGAAATGTTTTTATCGGTTTGGGATTTCACCACACTAATGTTTTGGTGTTATTCATAAACTTGTCTATTTATTTCACTACTTTTCCTTGATTGTGAATAGTTCATGGATAAGTTATAGAGAACTGGAGTTCAATATTTAGGGAAGTATTTAGGAATTTTAACGCCAATTCGGTGTGTTCTGTATGAAAAAGATTATCTGGATACTTGTGTATTTTTTATGAACAGGAAGAATAGTGCAGCCAGCTTTTTGGTACAAAATGTCAGGCACATCCTGAACTTCTCCCACACACCCGATCTACCACAATCCAATTAGTTGGTCTAAGGAAGTCACATCTCTCTTCTGCACGGATTCAAACCTCAGTAATATATTTGTCAGTGTATAGATCACAGCACCACGTACCTGGCATAACCAAGGTTTTACAATGTTTTTTAAAAAATTGTTGTAAGCAGCTTTGAGTTTGGGACTTGGAAAAATACGGGGTAGAAATGATAATGATGATGATATAGAGGCAGCAATTTTGCAACTATGTTTTGGTATCTGATACTGCTGACTACTTGCTCATCCAGTTACTATGTGTGCAGTGCTCCAGCAATTGTGTATCATGGAAGCTGAAAAAAAAAGCTGCAACACATTTCCCAGCACCAAGATTTGTTTTAATGTATTGTACAGAATTATAAGAACCTTTGATAAGCCCTCTAATGAAATACTGCAGTAAAGAGCTGCACATTAAATAATGTCACAGCTATTTTAGTCCTAAGTTGCATAACTTGGTAGCTTTTGCCCCTCATTAATTTTATCCCCTACTTCAAATTAGGTAGTATATTCTACTATTCCAGTGGGAGATTACTATACACTCCTCTCAGTACTCAATAACATATACAATAGATTTATTTGGTAGGCATAACATTAAAAATCCTTTTAAATAAGAGGAGGATTTTTTTTAAAAAAAACAACAAATGCCACTTTCATGTATTTTTAACTGTTGCTAGGGAACTAAGAAGGGGTGTTGGGACATTTCTAAATAACACAGTATGACCACACATCACTTCATACACCTGTTGTTATTGTTGTTGTTGTTGTTGTTGTTGTTGTTGTGTGCCTTCAAGTCATTTCTAACTTATGGAGACCCTAAGCCAGACTTATTGGAGGGTTTTGTTTTGGCTTGTTTGACAAGATTTGTTCCGAGGGGTTACCTTTGCCTTCTTGTGAGGCTGAATGTGACTTGCCCAGGGTGGATTTCTGTGGCCTTGGTCTCCTGAGTCAGAATTCAGTGCTCAAAGCACTACACCACATTGTATTAATAGGAAACTATCATTCCATTCTACCATTGTAAACATACTTGTAGGAAACTATTACCCAACTGGTCTACAGGACTTATCAATAAATTAAGGGAGGGTGAGTTGAGACATTCCTATCAGATTTCAAAAAAAGAAGATGCCATAACTTAGCCATAAGACATAAATGGCCAGGTTTGCACTCCAATATCTTGAGTGAAATGATCACAGGTCATAAAGTTGTGACCTGTGATCATTCTAAGACAGTAGTTCTCAAAGTGTGCTCCAGATAGCCCTTGGGGCTCCGCAAAGCATACTGAGGGGCTCCATGCTTTCCTCCCCCTCCAAGCTTTCCCTCCTCCCTCTTGCTCATCCCCTCACTGCCAAAAGCCTCCCCTCCCTTGCCCCCAAAAGCCTTTCTTCCTCACCTCCCAGATCCGTTCCCTCTTGCCTTCCTTGCTTTCAAAACCCTATCCCCCCCCCCCAGTGCTTAGGGGGCGCTTTGATTGTGCTTTTCCTGCATCGTAGAAGGGGTTTGGACTTGATATCTCCTGGGGTTCCTGCATTTCTTGATATTGTTGTTACAAAGGCTGGGTGGCCATCCGTTGAGGGTGCTTTGAATGTGCTTTTCCTGGATTGGGGAAGGGGATTGGACTGGATGGTCCCTGGTGTCTTCCACTGAAATACTGTTAAGTTTATGTTGGTCTGCCCATGCCTGATAATATATATACACTATATATAATAAAATATATAAGCATTTCTTGGGGCTCCACAAGAAATGTTTACTTCACAAAGGGATCTGCAGCTGAAAAAGTTTGAGAGTTCCTGGTTTAAGATATTGAGAGAATCACTAATCTCAAGAGTCTGGGACAGAACAGAATAGACAAAAACAATACAGACCAAACAGTGATCTTATTCATGAGGATAAAGCAGCCTCATGGAGTAAGACTGTATCAGTGACTGCTCGTCAGGTGTCTATAAGTTGTTTCCAGCACTACAAGTCATGTGCCTCTCAATACTAATCTTTGGAGAACTCATGTCCTGGTTCTGGGGTTCCTACAATGCCTGCTGCTGACCAATGAGAAAAGTGGATGCTGAAAGAGATGCATGGCTCTTCTTGTGTTCTGGCGAATACATCTTGAAATGGCAAGAGGTTTAAGCTCCGCTCGTTTCCCATGATTAAGAGGCAAATCCTTGATATAAAACACAGTGACACATTTTCAAAGATCTGTTTTTCAAGAGTTACATATAAAGAGTTCTGATGTAACAAAATTTACAGACATCGAAGGCAAAGAACTTGCTTTTTGAAAGCCATATTTAATTTCAAGAAGGATTCCATCCCACCCCATCCCATTCCAAACACCTATATCTAAACCAGTCTGGCACATAGATCACTTTACTTCTTATACATTATACCAAAATATCGATTAAATACATAACAGAATATGAATTTTCATTTCAAGACCAAACTAAAAAGCATTTTTTCCCTAACAGCTTTACTAATATCTTAACAAATAACAAGTACTTTGTTGTCATTATTTTTCACTCCTCAAGGCAGGCTCTCACTCAATTACAATTTGCAGATTTCAGATCCAAATACAGTATCCTTTCTGAACACTCACAAACCACGAACACACACGTACAAACCACCATTTTCACCTTTCAAAGTGATCTCTTAGATATTCAAATTAACTTTAAATTATTTTTCTGTGAATAAACTGTAAAAATGTTTACTATGTGAGCTTTATAGAATGGCCAGCCAATACAGACCAAAGATATGATTTCCAAATAATCAATATGTAATCCATGAGATTTTAAACACCTGTATGTTTAAGACCTTTATGTACTATGATTTTTTTTTTCATGTCAGGAGTGACTTGAGAAACTGCAAGTCGCTTCTGGTGTGAGAGAATTGGCTGTCTGCAAGGATGTTGCCCAGGGTACTCCCAGATGTTTTACCATCCTGTGGGAGGCTTCTCTCATGTCTGTGCATGGGAAACTGGAACTGACAGACGAGAGCTTACCCCACTCCATGGATTCAAACCGCAGACCTTCCGGCACAAGGGTTTAACCTATTGTGCCACTGGGGATGCATTCAAATGTAATATTGAAGGTATGAAAAGAGCAAGTATAGGAGATAGAAGTTCAGATCCTATAGAATGGAATGTAAGATTGATAGTAGTCATGAATCTCAATACCATTTAGATTTAAATTTGATACTAGCAGTGTGGGAGACCAGCTGAGATATGTAAGGAGTGCTCTGCTTTTCTTTTCCTCTGAAGGATGATTTTCCTTGCTTTTGTGGCTGAAAATGTGTTGTGACACACGGATAGATGAAAAATTGAAAGCAAAGCAAAGCAAAAAAAAAAAAAAGAAAGAAAGAAAGAAAGAAAAGAAAAGAAAAGAAAAGGAAAGGAAAGAAAAGAAAAGAAAGGGGGAGCATAACAAAAGCCACAGATCTTAAAATGCTCGGAACACCATTTATAAGGAATCAAAACCGTCACTGCCATAACTTTCAAGTTCATGGACACTAACAAAGAAAATAAGCCCGTGGGCTACATTTTATACTGCCTAAAAAATCCGCTGCACTGTCCATTCATTGTTTAGATTTCTGGATTCCCAGACTGTTCTTATGCAACACTAAAAATTCATGGTGACTAATCACAGGCTGTTGTGAGTTTCAGTGGGCTTCCGATCAAATACCACAGACTGTTTAAAACAGAGTGAGAATGTTAGTAATGACACAGAAGATGATGCTAATGAAAATTAGACAATGACACCAATGGACATGAGACTTATTAAAGTGAGATGTTAAGAAACCTGGATGGCTTCAACTCTAAAATGAAGTTAGAAGAGCAGGCCCCCTTTACTTAATCAGGGAGGTTTTGGGATGTTTAGGCTGGTAGTTGTTGCTTTGTGTTGTTGTCTTTGCACTTTCTGTATATTGCATGTTTTGCACCTCTGAGTGCTTTGTAAGACACCCCAAGTCCCTATTGGAGATAGTGGTGGGGTATAAATGAAGTTTTATTATTATATTATATTATTATTATTACTAGTATCATCATCATTATTACTTAGCTCTGCCCATGTATGTCAATTGTGGAGATCTGTATTCTACTCCAGGTATAGGCTACCAAAGCATTTGTAACTAGCGTTGCAGCAAACAGTGTCAGCTGTGGTTAGAATGGAAGAGATGAAACATTTGTCGTTCTCAGGATGCTCTGATGTGTTCTCACTACAGATGGATGGTAATTTTATTCATCACTCCATCACTCGGCCCCTCTATAATCACAGCGATTGCCAAAAGACCAAGAGAGCATAAGACGCCAGGCCAGCCATTGAACAAGCAGAACATCTTAGAGCAGTTTGTCAGGCAGCTGCCTAATAAGAGCAGGCTCCGTTATGTTCCTGGTAATTCAATTCTTGGGGAAAAGATGGCCATGAGAAAGAATGCCTGAAGCAATACAGGAAACATTCCTAGGCAGGTTAGGCCCACCTACCCTGCAAGAACTGTGCAGATCCCTTTATGGTTTCTCTCAAAGGACTGCTACATACAACACCAGGTCTTTTATGAAAGTGGGCTCAGATTTCATATTTTCTGTTTACAAAATGCTGCCATTTGAAAAACTGACAACCGTTGCTGCACTATGCATTTAGGATCCACATTCTCTTGGAGGAAAGAAGAGGGAGTTTCCAAATAAGGGGATTCTAGGTCTGAGTGCTGCTTCTGGAGCGGTTTATGGGTATTGATTTAAAGAAGTCTGAGGTAGGAACTGTGTGGCTCCCCAGCAGTCCTCTCTGGCATAGTTAGTACCAAGGATTTCTAGGAGTTGTGCTTTCTGGGAGAGAGCCACACAATACTCAACCTTGTTTTACTCAAAGCAAATCTGTCAAAGAGGATACTAACACACACAGTAAACACATTTGGTAGCATTTTTATGGGTGGCTTCTCTTATTCATTGTCTGTGTCAGCAAGACTATAGGCAGGACATTTTATTTATTAATTTGAATGTTTAACTGGAATATTTAAATCACTAATGATTGGAAGGCATAATTATTCCATGTTTTCAGCAGCCAATTTTTAAAATTTGCACTACTTTTATTAAATAGTTACAATTATGGCAGGGTAAATATTTTGTAGACTGCTACTATTGCCTGCACATGTCTGGTGAGGGCTACCTTCCCATCTCAAGACAGTCACATTGTGCACTGTAGCTTTCCTCATCATTATACCTTACTATATTATACACAAATGTCTCCAAGGACTCACAGCAACTCTATCTACACTGGTATTTTTCCAGCTCTCGGGACCTGTCTACACTGGCCCCAAACATCACTCAGCATGAATGGATCTCTGGCAGTCTCTGGCACAGTGGCTTGTACTGAATATGGTAGGGATATATATATATATGGCGCTACAGTTCAATTTTGCTCTGCTTTAAGCAAAATGTGTGGGGGTTTTTTTGGGGGGGGGGGTAGAATACACTGCCATCATCACCCTTTCCCTGTGCTGATCAGAGCAGGAGAAAGAGATAGACTATATCAGTATCACCATTAGTACTCCTACCTGACTATGGAGGTGCATTCACCCCCTTTCCCATTTCTTACTGATCATGCAGGCAGAGGTGCTGGTGATGGCCTGGAGTCCCCATGGTTGGCCAGGAGCAAAGGCAGAGCACAGACCAGATGGGTAGATGCAGCAAGTCAGTGGTTCTTAACCTGTGGGTCTCCCAATGTTTTGCCCTTCGTCTCCCAGAAATCCTAACAGCTGATAAACTGTCTGGGATTTCTAGGAGTTGTAGGCCAAAACACCTAGGGACCCACAGGTTGAGAAACACTGCAGTAAGAGCTGAATCTGGGGCTGTTCTGAGTGCAGATTTAGACCTGGCTAACCAATCCTGTGTAGAAGCAACCTAAATCAAACATTTTTTCAGCCTAAATCTTAAAAGAGAAGAATCATGAAAAAGGGTGAGAAATACTACAGTAATGTGTGTCCATGTTTAGAGATGCCTAAGTAGAGTTTATATTCTGTCAGCAAGAGAACAACCCCCCTTCCCAAAATGCTTCTTATTTCAGCCTCCAAACCATTCAGGCTGGGAAGCAGGCTGTATTTCCACACAAGCAGAGCAGATCAAAATGCACATGGGGGATTGTTTGTCAAAAAACTTCCTTCTTGTCAAAAATATCCCAGCATGTAGAAAGTGAATACACCCAGAAAAATGCTAGGGTAATACTACCAGGCTAGTTATGTCCCTCACATCAAAGCTTTTCAAATGTGGGACAGATATTTCCTTGAAGGATTTATCCAAGTATACACAATTTGCATGTGGGAGCCATCCCTCTTATGAGTCATGAGATGATACTATTTAGATAGGGTACTACACCTTATGCCTGCTTTCTGGTGCCTGTATAATACAAAATATGCTTCATTCATTTGGGTAAATGTGTGGATATCCTTACATGACAACAAACATGGGTATGTACAGTGCCTGCATACATGTTTGTATACAATGAGAGGCAAGCAAAAGCACGTACACACATGTCACATATATAATATTTGGATAGGTATTTGATACCAAGACCGTTGCCTTCATTACCACAGAATTTACAAACAAGAAGCAGCTATTGTGAAATTTAGAGATATATTCCCTCCAGCTTTCTGTAAAGACAAACAAACAAAACTCCTAAGAAGTCTATTACAAGTGAGAGAAATTATTTTTGTTATCTGTCAAATTAAATCTTGGGGAAATCATGCTACTATTCTACCTATATGCCTCCCATTGCTTCTACCTTTATTGCCTCTATTCTAATGCTTTCACTGTTTAGAAATTAGGATGTTTGGTATATTCGTATACATATAGACAGACAATGAAAGACTATAAGGGCCAAACTAGGTTGACTGCCACCCATATTTAGCATGGCATCATATAAATTTGGCCTTAAGCCTAAGCAAACAAGTGCATAAATCTATGTATATGGATCTGTGCACATAATGAACAGGGAATTACATATGCACAAAGGAAAATACAGACATGTGCAGCTATTTCTACATACAGGTGCACACACACAAAGATCTATTTCAAACTGACAGTGTATAGCGGTAAGGAAGCCCTACTCACACAAAAAGCCACTGTTGTACAAAAGTGGGGCATTTGAAATTCTCCTTCCACTGGCTCTTTAATTTCAAGAGTACTCCTATTGAAGTGTAGTTGCTCATTTGAATGAGCCCCTTCCTCCCCCCCCCCCAGTGGTGCAATGGGTTAAACCCTTGTGCCAGAAGGACTGCTGACTGAATGGTTGGCTGTTCGAATCCAGGGAGCAGGATGAACTCCCATCTGTCAGTTCCAGATTCCCATGCAGGGACATGAGAGAAGCCTCCCTTTGAGATAGTAAAACATCCGGGCGTCCCCTTGGCAACGTCCTTGCAGATGGCCAATTCCCTCACACCAGAAGCAACTTGCAGTTTCTCAAGTTGCTCCTGACACCAAATATATCTATATACATATATAGATAGATAGATATTGAGAGGGGGGGGGGGGGGAGGGAGAGAGAGAGAATGAGAATGTTATGGCAAATCAAATTGAGGGAACATGAATACAGATATCTGAAAATATCAGAAAACATGAAGTTGAAGGAGAAAGTTAACCTTTTTAGTGCACAGCAACAAGGGCTCAAAGAAGAAAGTAAGGAATCAATGGTGTTTGCTTGAGGAAGTGTAGTCTCGTGGACTACACACACTGATGGAGGATGTTCAAACACAGCATCCCATTGATTTCCCTCCAAGCTGAGTCAATGTTCTGAAATAAAGTAGATTTGAAGGTGGCTGAACATTGAAATTCTTTACCCACTGTATGGATCCTAATCCATTAAGAAATAGAGTGAATCATTGATCAAGACCTCTACAGAGAGGATATAAGCAAAAGGAGCAAGAATGTATATATGTGTGTGTGGAGGGTTGGGAAGCCCAAAATGTTTCACTACTTCAAATTCCACTGGACATGTATCAAAATATTCTTTCTGCTGGCTTGATGATGGCCTAATCCAAAAACAGTGATGCTCAGATGATTTAAATGGTTTGATATAATTCTTATCAACTGATTTCTTTTGTAGAAGAGCTTCACTAGGGACACAGAAGTGAGAAATCTGGTTCAGTGGCCTATGTAACATTATAGAATTATCGAGTTGGAAGAGACCAAAGGGGGCATCCCGTCCAACACCTTGCCATGCAGGAATTGCAATCAAACCACCCCTGACAGATGACCAACCAGCCTCTACTTAAAAACCTCTAGAGACTCCACCACACACCAAGGCAGCATATTCCACTGTGAAACAGCTCTTACTGTCAGGAAGTTACTGTCAGTTTGTATCCTTTGCTCCATGTACTTGTCTCCAGAGCATCAGAAAACATGCATATCCCCTCCTCAATGTGACATCCTTTCAAATATTTCCATATGGTTATCACGTCCCCTCTCAGCCTTCTTTTCTCCAAGCGAAATATATCCAGGTCCCCTCAGCTGTTCCTCATAAGGTTTTGCTTTCAAACCTTTGATTATTTTGGCTGCCTTCCCTGTTACCCAATCTATATCTGTGCATTTTATTTTTATTGCCTTAATGTAGTACTGCATTTCTCCCTGTTGAAATTAATGAACTGTTCTCTAATCTATTAAGGTCATTTTGAATTTTCATTCTGTCATCTGGGGTATTAGCTATCCTTTCCAATTTGGTGTCATTTGCAAATTTGATAAGCATCGGTCCAAGTCATTAAGAAAGATGTTGAATAGAACTAGGCCCAGGACAGAACTCTGTCACGACCACTAGTCACTTCTTTCCAGAAACCATTAGTGACCACCTTTTGGGTTCTGTCGCTCAAACAATTACAAATGCACCTAAGCATAGCATTGTTTAGCCCATATTTTATTAGCTTCTTTGTAAAAATGTCACGAGTAACCTTGTTAAAGGCATCAATGAAATCAAGATATGCTAAATCCACAGCATTCCCTTCATCTACAATCTTGTAGCTCTGTCAAAACTGAGAGATAAGTCTGGCATGACTTGTTTTTTGAGAAACCCACATTGACTTTTTGTGAGTATAGCATTCCTTTGTAAGTGCTTACAGACTGCCACTTTAATGTTCTGCTCCAGAACCTTTCCTGACATTGATGCCAGCTGACTGTTTGGGTTCTCTTTTTTTGGTCATTTTGAAGATGGGGACAACATTTGCCTTCTTCCGGTCTGCTGGAACTTTTCTTGTTCCCCAGGAATTCTCAAAAGATTATTGCCAGTGGTTCTGAAATGACTTCTGCCACTGCTTTTAATATCTTTGGATGTAGTTCATCTGGCCCTGGAGACCTGAATTCACTTACTTAAGCCAGATTATTATTTACCTATTCTGCACTGCATTTCCCCTACTGTGTCCATCCTCCCCAAGTTGAATACTGTTAAACTTTTGGGAGAAGACTGAGGCAACGAAGGTGTTAACATTTTGCCACCACTTGTATGTCCTACAATTTCCTTGTTCTTCCTTTTGTTACAGACATGACACCCCCTCTCTTCCCTGGCTTTTAGTATTTTTTTACCTCTCTAGCAAGTCGGAGCTCGTTCACCTTCCAGAACTTGGATGTAGCCTTTTCACTGAGCTCTTCCACTGCCTGCTCACTTTAGCCCTGCAGGGAGTGCAACTAACTGGACAGATACACACTGCTTTGGCCATTTAGTAATCTATGAAGAGTGTGAGACCTTAGGAAGCACTGAGCTGCCTCTTTAGTAGCTGGCAGCAAAAAGCAGTTACCTTTCTCCCAGGTCACGTATACTGGATCTGTGGCAAGGATGCTGGAGATCTAGGAAAGAGATGGGTCCTCTTTTTTGTACAGCTGCAGCCAAATTGAGGGGAGAATGCCTCTAGACCATGGCCATATAGCCCGAAAAACCTACAACATCCCTGCAGCCAAATTGTTCTTGGGCACTCGGCACTTTCCCTCAGCTAGGGGAGCCTGCACTTTGCAGCAGGCATGCAGGGGAAGGATAGGGAACATTGTGCAAGGAGCTTCAGAATACATCCTTGTGCAATGATTAGAGAGACATGTACATAGTGCATATATGTCATATACATCATTTCTGTTTATATGAAATCCATTTCCGTTACCACTATACTCATATATCATACCTATCTGGTCTATTCTGGATATGTTAAGCTCACATGTATTTAACTACCATACAATCTCTGGGTTCCGGGACTGGACAGGCTTAGTAGCATCATTGCTACTGTATCTATTATGCTACAATATTGCTGAGTCGCCACCGCTTTTTGACAAGATTACAGGAACATGACATTATCAATGTCAACAGTATTGATTTCTTTCAAATGGACTCTTTTACATCAAAAGATAACCTGGAAACATCTCAAGCTCAGTTTCCAGAGATAGACTAACAAATGTGAATATGTACAATTACTAAAACTACAATGAACTTGGTTTATTCCATGAACATTCAATCCAAAAGAGGGAAAGTGAAGGTGATTGCAGGATGAAGTAAGGAATAATAGGAAAGGCAACAGAGGCAAGTGGTTGGTGTTGCAGTCGTTCTGCTTGCAAACCTTCAGATTTCAAAGGGAAACTTAATTGTATAACTGATTAGGAAAGCACAGATGTCAGTTTAAGGATTAATGGTTTGCACTACATTTTTCCAGTGCCAAATATAATTACTTCTCTTTGATATTAATGAATGTAATGCCAGTCAATGTGTGCAAGTTATAAAAAAGGGAGCAAGTATGAGACGTATGGGATAAGAGAGAGAAGAGGAAAGAATTTGTACACAAATGTATTGTACCAGTCTATCTATAGTGCTCCTTGCATGGTCATACATTTACTCTCACTCTCTCTTTCACTCACTATGTTCAATACAATATACTGTTCAATAGAAGAGACCCCCACCACCATTCCATGCCATTCCACTCTCAGTTTCCTGTTACTGCATGTGTGTGTGTATGTGTGTGTGTGTGTGTATATATATACACACACACACATACACACACCCTTAAACCCGGATAGAGGATAGTGGCAACCAAACATGGTTGCCTCAGATGTCATCTCTCTTCCTTTATCATACCTCAAAATATCTGGCTGTAGACAAAAAGTAGGATCGGTCTCAATATGAATCAGTGAACAAAATCTTTTGACTGGACAGAAAATAAGAGAGATGATCACTTTCTCTTTCCAATCCCTAAGATACATGAGTCAAAAGATGGCTTTATTCTTCGTCCTTTTCTTTTTCTAGGGCAATAGACTCCTTGGTCCACTTGCCCTTAGTGACGTCCTGGTCCTCAGCAGAGCCAAGGTCAGAAGTCAAACCTTCTGCTCCTTCACCATTGCCTTCCAAGTCCAGTTCCTCAAAGGAGGAGCCACTGGCTCCAGATTCACTGTAACTATGCTCACTCCGATTGTCTATTTCTTCACGGCCGTGGCCAGACATGTACGGGGACAACACCGAGGTGGCCACTGAAGTCTCTCTACTGTCGGTTGTGGCTTCCATGCTGATAGAGCTGGTCTCACTCAAAGTGTCGGCTCCTTGTGAAGAAACAAAAATAGACAATTAGCACTGGGCAAAGATAGAGGTATCCACAACACATTGCGACCATTACATTTAATTGAACATACTTAAAGGTCTCCCATTGATACAAAATTTATTAAAACAGAAATCCAAGAAGTCTCGTAATTTTCTAATACAATAAAAATACCAGATTTTTCAGTCCTTATTAGAAAATGGGAGAAATGACAAAATCCCACTCCACAAAAAAATAAGAAAGAAAAAGAAAAAAGATTCAAGCATTAGGTAAAACAATCACTGACTCTACAATGGACAGGATCCTTGGAGAGGTGCGACCCACCACATGCATCCTAGACCCCTGCCCTTCCTGGCTGATCAAGGAAGCCAGAGGGGGTTTGGCAGAGTGGGTGAAGGTGATGGTTAATGCCTCCTTACAGGAAGGAAAATTTCCAGCGAGCTTAAAACAAGCTATTATAAAACCGCTGTTGAAGAAACCATCACTGGATCCCACTCAATTTGACAACTATCGGCCTGTTTCCAATCTCCCCTACTTGGGCAAGGTCATGGAACGTGTGGTGGCAACACAACTCCAGGGGTTTCTGGTAGACACTGATTATCTAGACCCGGCACAGTCTGGCTTTAGGCCGGGACATGGAACTGAGACAGCCTTGGTCGCCTTAGTGGATGATCTGCGGGAGCTAGACAGGGGGAGTGTGTCCCTGTTAGTTCTGCTGGACCTCTCAGCGGCCTTCGATACCGTCGATCACGGTATCCTTCTGGGCCGCCTCATGGATATGGGGCTCGGAGGCACTGCTCTGCGGTGGCTTCGATCCTTCCTTGAGGGACGGACCCAGAAGGTGTTACTGGGTGACACCTGTTCGGCCCCACAACCGTTGTTGTGTGGAGTCCCACAGGGTTCTATCTTGTCCCCGATGTTATTTAACATCTACATGAAGCCGCTGGGAGAGATCATTCGGAGTTTCGGACTAAGATGCTATCTCTATGCAGATGACGTCCAAATCTGTCACTCCTTCTCACCTGTCACCAGGAGGCTGTCCAGACCTTGAACCGGTGTTTAGCCGCTGTATCGGACTGGATGAGAGCTAACAAATTGAAATTGAATCCAGACAAGACAGAGGTCCTACTGGTCAGTCGGAAGGCCGAACAGGGTATAGGGTTACAGCCTGTGTTAGACGGGGTTACACTCCCCCTGAAGACGCAGGTTCGCAGCTTGGGAGTGATCCTGGACTCATCGCTGAGCCTGGAACCCCAGGTCTCAGCGGTGGCCGGGAGAGCTTTTGCACAATTAAAACTTGTGCGCCAGCTGCGCCCGTACCTTGGGAAGTCGGATCTGGCCACGGTGGTCCACGCTCTTGTCACATCCCGGTTGGATTACTGCAACACACTCTACGTGGGGTTGCCTTTGAAGACTGCTCGGAAACTTCAACTAGTCCAGCGAGAAGCAGCCAGATTGCTCACCGGAGCGGCGTACAGGGAGCACACCACCCCCCTGTTGCGTCAGCTCCACTGGCTGCCGATCCAATTCCGAGCACAATTCAAAGTGCTGGTTTTGACCTACAAAACCCTATACGGTTCCGGCCCAGTGTATCTGTCCGAACGGATCTCCCTCTACATCCCACCTCGAAGTTTAAGATCTTCTGGGGAGGCCCTGCTCTCGACCCCGCCAGTGGCACAAGTGAAACTGGCAGGGACGAGGAGCAGGGCCTTCTCAGTGGTGGCCCCCCACCTGTGGAACTCACTCCCCGGGGAGATCAGATCGACGACTTCCCTTCTAGCGTTTAGGAAAAAACTAAAGACCTGGATGTGGGACCAAGCTTTTGGCCATGCTGACAACTGATTAAAGGACCTATCGATAGACAAGGACAATGGAATGGAATGGATATATGGACTCTGATATATGGACTCTGACATGAGATAGTTTTTATGATTTTAATAGGTATTGATGTTTCATTTTAATTGTTGAACTGTTATATTTTGTATTGTTTGTTGTGTGATTTGGGCATCTAATTGTGCCTCCTTTGTAAGCCGCCCTGAGTCCCCCCCGGGGTGAGAAGGGCGGGGTATAAGTAGATGAAATAAATAAATAATAATAAATTCATATAACAAATCTTACTGATTTCAGACTATTGGGGTTTGAGGGTCCTTATACGTACAATACACACACACGCACACACACATATATAGGTACAATAAAATAGGTCTTCACAGTCATTTATGGATCCAAGGCAGGACTCTACCCTTGGAAGACAATCATACTTGGCCACGAGTGATCACCTATAGTAATATATGAGTAACTATATAACAAACCTATATTTGACCTAAAACCATCATCCTGCCATACTAATTCCATTTAAGATGACAAAGCAAAAACATGTTCTACTTCTAGGGCTAGATGCTGGGCTGTCAAGAAACTCAATATTCCCCCAAATCTGGCCACCACAAACATGGCAAAAAAATGAAAGTGTTATACAAAGCAAGATGAATTAAAAACAAAATATAACTTAAGTTATATCAAAACAAATATTGCCCAAACTCAATGATTAAGAAACTTTAATTCTCCCTGTGATTTGGACTTTACATGCCCCAGCTATCTTAGCCAATGATCAGGGATTTTGGGAACTAAAGTCTGAAACACCTAGAAGACCAAAGTTTGAGAAACATTGCTCAAAATCAATGTTGTTCCAATTCTGCCCTGATAATAAATTGATATTAAACTTTCTATCCCATGTTTATAGAACGTACATTTCCCTGGACCACCTTTGTCCCCCATTTGGCAGAGATGTTCATATGGAAGTGTGGCCTCTAATGCATTCAGTGAACACCCTTCTCTATATTAAATTAGACTTATGCCTAAGCCTTTCAGGACCAAATAACCCTGCTCAATCAAATTTTCTGAACACAGGAACACAGATCCTGGCTTATACAAAGGTATATCTTTAGCTCAGTTTTGACAGTACTGACTTGTACTGTCTCTTCAAGAATATTTCAGGCAGGATTCTTCATAAGCTTTTTAGAGATGCAAAGAGAGCAAAGACTGAACCTGGGAACGTTTCTGTGCAAAGCATGTATTCTTTCAGCCACACGACAGTTATATTTATTTGTACAGGCAATGAACTTACAAAATATTACAACCTCCCTTTGTCAAGAAATACTGGAGATTGTGCTTTAGCCCGAAATGCTCTTCCATTTCCCTTTCTTAGCTACCCAAACGGCTACAGCTTTAGAGGGAATGTTGATGTGAGCAAAGTGCATTCTGATTGCCCTCTACTGGACATTTTTCCCTAAGCTATGCTTTGTTCCTCTTTCACAATTCTATCTCTTTTTAAAGTGTCCCTCAAATGGAATCAAAAGTTGGAACAGAAGTATTATTTTTTTAAAAAAATGATACTAACAATTTGTACTTTCCAATTATTTCCTTCCTCCATTCCATACTACAACATTTGGCAGGTAACTAAACAGGAATCAGGAAGAGAGGGGGAGAGAGGAAACAAGCTTCTCTCTTAGTTACACAACTAAAAATTGGGGGACATATAACCCACGTTTGCTTACTATTAAATTTTTAAACCAGAAATTTAAAAAATGATGCAGTTCTGATTTTACACTAGCAGTCTGTAGCCCAGCAAGAAACAAATTAAGGTAGACATATTAATGAACAAAGGGTGTCGATGAAATTTATCCCTTTACACACTTCATTGACCTATGGGTTATAGTTGGAAGGATTTCCAGGGCAGCCGAGAATGCATCTATGCTTATACAATGCAAGCAATTTCTACTTGTATTGCATAAATTTTCTGCCACAATCTCACTCAGCAGGGACATGAACATATTCCCATGTATCCCCATGCATACATATTTTAGTGCTTGCTTGCTGAAATTTCAGATTTGTTCTAATCTTCTACAAAAGGTAGATGTCTCTGTTTTTTTTTGGTTCCTGTTGTTAAAAGGATCTTGACAGATTTCACATGGAAGCTTGGCAGCACTGAAGTTTTTTTCCAGAATAAATCAGAAAGAAAGGGGAGAGACAAGAGTATTTCACTAGAATGAAACTATCCCTCTGACAACAATGATTTGAGCAAGTGCTCAGAGGAAATATTTTTCAAGATCTCGCTAAGATGAGAGGATTTACAAGAGGGTTGTTCAAACACATTTTCACCGAGGGCCAAAGTAGCCTTATGGTTGCCTTCAAAGGGTAGTTGGTAATTGTAAGACCGTATAAAGGTAACTATGCTTCTTTGGCATTGAAAGCTTAGCAGGCCATATAAAATTACAAGAATGTCATTATATACATTACACAATATAAATACATTTTGGATCAGAGTTTTCTAAACTGTGTGTTGTGACACACTAGCGTGGTTCCTGCACCCCACAAGTGTGTCACATTAAAAATGCTGCCCTTCCCCACCCCCACAAACAAAAGCTGCCTGGCAGCCGCGTGGAGGAAGCATTTTGGCCACCCCAGTGGAAAAAAGGAGGAGGAAGAGGTGGCGGTAGCAGCAGGAGGTGAAACAGGGGCAGCCACTACTCAGGCAGCCCTGAGCACAAGCTCAAGGCCCCATCATCCTCCTCCTCCTTGTTGTCCTCAGCCCTTCACCTCATCCCTGATGGCAACATCTCCAACAGCAGCTCCAGCCACAGCAGGGGAGGGAGGGGAAAGAAGATGGAAAAAGTGGAGGAGAATGGGGGTGAGTAGGAGTTCAGCAGAGGGGCACAGGATTAGAAGAGACTCTCAAGGGCATTCAGCCCAACCCTCTTCAGCCAGGCATGAAGACACATTCAAAGCCCTTCCTACAGCCATAGAGACTATTCAAAAACCTCCAGAGAAGGAGACTTCACTGAAAGAGACCCTCAAAAGGCATCTGGTCCTCCCTGCTTCAGCCGGCAGGAAAGACACAACCAAAGCACCCTTGGATACCCAGGGGTCCCGATCCCCAGGTTGAGAAATGCTGCCTTAAGGCCATCAAGTCCAACTCCCTTCACCGGGGCAAGAAAACATAATCAA